CAAAACCTCAGCCAGTTCCCAATAAATGCTTCACAGAGTTCAAGTAACAGACACATCTCAACATCAACTGTTCAGAGGAGACTGTGCGAATCAGGCATTCATTAATGGTCGAATTGCTGCAAAGAAACCACTACTAAAGGACCCCAATAAGAAGAAGAGACTTGCCTGGGTCAAGAAACACGAGCAATGGACATTAGACCGGTGGAAATCTGTCCTTTAGTCTGATGAGTCCAAATGTGAGATTTTTGGTTCCAACCGCTGTGTCTTTGTGAGACCCATAGTAGGTGAATGGTTGATCTCCGCATGTGTGGTTCCTACCGTGAAGCATGGAGAAGGAAGTGTCATGGTGTGGGGGTGCTTTGCTGGTGACACTGTCAGTGATTTATTTAGAATTTTAGGCACACCTAACCAGCATGGCTACCACAGCATTCTGCAGCGATACGCCATCCCATCTGGTTTGCACTTAATGGGACTATCATTTGTTTTTCAACAGGACTATGACCCAACACACCTCCAGGCTGTGTAAGGGCTATTTGACCAAGAAGGAGAGTGATGGAGTGCTGCATCAGATGACCTGGCCACCACAATCACTCGACCTCAACCCAGTTGAGATGGTTTGGGATGAGTTGGACTGCAGAGTGAAGGAAAAGCAGCCAACAAGTGCTCAGCATATGTGGGAACTGTTGGAAAAGCATTCCAGGTGAAGCTGGTTGAGAGAATGCCAAGAGTGTGCAAAGCTGTCATCAAGGCAAAAAAGTGGCTACTTTGAAGAATCTAAAATCTTAAAATATATTTTGATTTGTTTAACACTTTTTTGGTTACTACATGATTCCATATGTGTTATTTAATAGTTTTGATGTCTTCACTATTATTCTACAATATAAAAAATAGTTTAAAAAAATAAAGAAAAACCCTTGAACGAGTAAGTGTGTCCAAACTTTTGATTGGTACTGTGTAGTTTTTTTAATTGGTCCGCAGGTCTACAAAAGGGTCCAGTTGCCCATCTCTGGATTAGAGGAACGAATCGATGCAATTTGGTTCAACGGGATACGATGCACTAACATTTGCTGCATAAACACATTCATTTTCCATTCTAAATAAAAATCTGCTGCTGATGGAGTTCATGAGTTGGGCCTCTCTGAGCTGGATCTGTCTGAGCTGACTTATGTGTGTGTGTGTGTGTGTGTGTGTGTGTGTGTAAATTATGTATATGTCTATGGTGTATGTAGGCACCTGAGCCATAAGGAAAACTTTTCATTTACCACCCCACTATCAGTAAGGTGGGGCAATGTTTGCTTTTGGAAGGAATTATAGTTGGAAATAATTATGTTATATAGAATTATATTATATAGCATTATAGAACTATAGAAAACACAGGATCTATCACGTTTCAGGAGAATACCTAGATGCAGACAGTGTCGAAGTAACAAATGTTTATTACAAAAACAGAGCGCAGGCAAACAACAGGTCAAGGGCAGGCAGAAGTCAGTAATCCAGATCAGAGTCCAAAAGGTACAGAACGGCAGGCAGTCTCAGTGTCAGGGCAGGCATAGGTCAATAATCCAGGGTGGCGTGGCAAGGTACAGAACGGCAGGCTGGCTCTGGGTCAGGGCAGGCAGAATGGTCAAAACCAGGAAAACTAGAAAACAGGAACTTGAGAAAGACAGGAGCAAGGGGAAAAATGTTGGTAGGCTTGACGAAACAAAAGGAACTGGCAACAGACAAACAGAGAACACAGGTATAAATATCAGGTATCAAATGTCTTGATCACGTTGAGGGAGAGGTTGTTGTCCTGGCATCACACTGCCAGGTCTCTGACCTCCTACCTATTGGCTGTCTCGTCGTTCTCAGCGACCAGGCCTACTGCTGTTGTGTCATCTGCAAACTTAATGATGGGTGTTGGAGTCGGGCCTGGCCATGCAGTCATGAGTGAACAGGGAGTACAGGAGGGGACTGAGCACGCACCCCTGAGGGGCCCCCATGTTGAGGATCAGCGTGGCAGATGTGTTGTTACCTACCCTTACCACTTGGGGGCGGCCCGTCATGAAGTCCAGGATACAGTTGCAGAGGGAGGTGTTTAGTCCCAGGGTCCTTAGCTTAATGATGAATATTGAGGGCACTATGGTGTTGAACGCTGAGTTGTAGTCAATGAATACCATTCTCACATAGGTGTTCCTTTTGTCCAGGTGTGAAAGGGCAGTGTGGAGCGCAATGGAGATTGCATCATCTGTGGATCTGTGTTAATGTTGTGCACAAATTAGTTTACATCCCTGTTAGTGAGCCTTTCTCCTTTGCCAAGATAATTCATCCACCTGACAGGTGTGACATATCAAGAAGCTGATTAAACAGCATGATCATTACACATGTGCACCTTGTGCTGGGGGCAATAAAAGGCCACTCTAAAATGTGCAGTTTTGTCACACAACACAATACCAGAGATGTCTCAAGTTTTGAGGGAACATGCAATTGGCATGCTGACTGCAGGAATGTCCACCAGAGCTGTTGCCAGAGAATGTAATGTTAATTTCTCTACCATAATTAGAGAATTTCGCAGTACGTCCAACCAGCCTCACAACCGCAGACCACATTTATGGTCTTTCAGGCCCTCGGGGAAGGGGTGGTGTATCGTGCCATTCATCCGCCGCCATCACTGCATGTTTCAGCATGATAATGCACGGCCCCATGTCACAACGGTCTGTACACACTTCCTGGAAGCTGAAAATGTCCCAGGTCTTCCATGGCCTGCATACTCACCAGACATGGCACCCATTGAGCATGGTTGGTATGCTCTGGATCGACTTGTACGACAGCGTGTTCCAGTTCCCGCCATTGAAAAGGAGTGGGACAACATTCCACAGGCCACAATCAACAGCCTGAACAACTCTATGCGAAGGAGCATGTGTCGTGCTGCATGAGGCAAATGGTGGTCATACCACATACTGACTGGTTTTCTGATCCACACCCCTACCTTTGTTTTTAAGGTATCTGTGACCAACAGATCCATATCTGTATTCCCAGTCATGTGAAATCCATAGATTAGGGCCCAATTTATTTATTTATTTAAATTGACTGATTTCCTTATATGAACTGTAACGTAGTAAAATCTTTGAAATTGTTGCGTGTTGCGTTTATATTTATGTTCAGAAGAGACTATGGGCGGTAGGGGTAAGGGATTGTTTTTGGACAAGGCAAGGTCACAGGATTCACAACCATTGGATGACTCCATGGAGGGGTTGTCGTGATTGGACCATGTCCTGGTGACCTAATGACTCATCCAGTCCCCCAACAGGACTCTGCCGGTCGTAAAACAAAGAAGAAGCAGAAGAAGAAGAAAAAACAGCAGCAGCAGCAGAAGAAGAAGAAGAGCCAGCCCCGAGCAGCTGAAATACAGCATGACCCAGTTAAAGGCAGATAAGAAGTGTCGGGTGCGGAGCAACCGTGTACAGATATTCCTCTGCCGGAGGGTGGAAGTTCACCTCATATGGAAGCACCCTGTTGTACTCATGCCCTGGGTCAGAGCTGATAGAGCTGTTGAACAACAGGTGGGCATTAGAGGAGACATCACCGTGGGTCGTCGTCATGTGTGAAGGGGAAATGTGTTATCTAACTTTGTTTAACAGCATCACGTGTGAAGGTAACGATGTGTTGTATAACTTTGTTTGAGGAAGTCGTGGGCTTAATTGCCAGAAGAGTGCAGAATTTGGGGCATTGACACCTTGAAGTGTTGTAATGAGGAAAGCTATAGGGTAAGATAGAACTATTAAAAGCAATTGTAGTTTTGTGAAAGAGAGTTGAGAAGCAAATAACCTCTTCTGAAAGAACCAAGTTGTATTGAAAAAAACTATCATTTGTGAAACTCAGGAACCAAACATGAAGTCTTACTAGTTTTCACTAACTAGTTACTCTATTGGTTGAATAAAGTATTCAGAAGAAAAGGAACACTGATAACAACCTTAGCTTGAGGTGCTCTACCATGGGTAGCCCGTTACCAGACCATATGGTGGGCTTTAGCAGGAAACCAAAGGGGGCCTCGGGGGTAACTGTGTTAAAGGCACACTTAAAGGAGCACTGAGAGTCTAGCCTGTAGAGCATTAGCCCTTTACCCAGACAAAGTGCTGAACCCCTGTCTTTGACCAGAGACAACTGGTTGAAGCCCCATACACAGGACTTATCGAGTGTGACTCACCCGGGTATTGTCCGGTCATGTAAAAAAGGGAGGACCAGGAGGGGGAGGAATTCGACAGAACACAGAGCTGGGGAACATCACAGAAAAGTCCAATATACTGATTGACGCATCTCTGCCACCTATAACACAGAAAACATAACAGAAAATCTGACGTCCCGCCCCTTTTATGCTCAGAACAGCGTCAATTTCGCAGGGGCATGGACTACAAGGTGTTGAAAGCATTCATGTTGACTCCAATGCTTCCCACAGTTGGGTCAAGTTGGCTTGATGTCCTATGGGTGGTGGACCATTCTTGATACATAGAGGATCTTTTGAAAGTGAAAAATCCAGCCTGGCACCTACTACCATACCACGTTCAAAGGCCCTTGAATATTTTGTCTTGCCCATTCACCTGATGGTTTATTACAGAACCTTTAAATAAAGTGTTACCCATCATATCCTAGTTGTGAATGAATAAACACATATATTTGACAAAGAAGAAAATCACTGAATAAATGCCTTATAGATTACCATTGGTTTATATAATACCTTAAAACATATTTCTAATTAATGCCTGTCATGTGTTCCCCCCTGCCCACTTAGCTAAGGGATTAAATATTAGGCTACCTATAATTTAATATAAGAAGACAGAGAGAGAGGAGATAAAGAGACTGTCAGTTCCTTAATGTTTGGGCGGTATAATACAGCCAATGGATACATTAAGGAACTGGCCGTCTCTCTCTCTCTCTCTCGCTCTCTCTCTCGCTCTCTCTGTTTCCTTCTATTGAATTCAATATAAAAACCTTCTGTGTTTGTCATAGAACGATGCCAGAACTAGTTTATGTGGATGCAGATAGATTTCCAGCGTTGTGCTTCGTTTGAGTATCTGTCTGCCAAGAAGTGATGGGCCTTTCATGGAATGAAATAGGTGGGACTTTCCAGCCTCCAGTGCAAGTGGCTATGTAATGTAATTTGACACCAAAGTCACTCTTTACTACAGATCATAAACTAAGACCCACTCGCTGGCTGAAGAGACTGAAATTCAGAAGGGAATAAACATTGATAAAAAAATTAAAATACACAGACAGTCCCTGAATTGAACTTTAACAGAGGCAATTATTATGCATTAATTCAGTGCTTCATTGTAATACATGATGACTTGTATTTAATAAAAAGCAGTAGCACTGTATTTAATGTCTAATAGATGGCTATTGGCTTATGTGTTATAAAAGACAATCAAACAACTTTTTAGGCTATTATCCAGGACACTTCATGCACTGTCCTCCACACCTTCAGCAGCACAGACTCCTGAAGGTGTGTGTGGGGGGGGGGGGGGGGGGGGGAGCAGGGTCAGAGTAAGAGTATATACTGTAGTACTCTATATCAGAGGAGAATACATAAAGACTGTCTTTAACCCTCCATTAGTGTCTTTGTTTGTTTGTGTTGTTGTTGTTTTTCCCCAGGAACAAATGAGTTATATTCTACACAGGATGATAACTCTTTCTGCTCACAGAGGTTAAACACACTGAATTCCCACCTTTGGGGATGAATGTGAGTGAGCTGCTGAATATTCAGAAGCAGGAGAGTCCCTCTCATGGTCCGTCGTATAAGAACTCATGACCCAGTCCGTTTCCACACTTCCACAACAGACCTGAAACAAACAACATCCAGAAAGGATTCCCTCTGTTTAAAAATTCTGTATCCTTGTTAAAAGGTTACACATTAAACATATTAAAGTGCCACTGCTCAAAAACTGAAGCCTCTATTGCCAACAATCACACTAAGTCACAACAACTCCTACACACGTTAGGTCTCCTATAGGCCATAAGGGTGAATCAGTCCCTCTCTGACTGCACACACAACACACCTTCACTGGTCCCCAATTCTCAGAGTATGTGGACACACTGTCCTGGTGGATGGTCTGAGAGAAGGCAGGCTATGGTGAGGAATGCTCAAACTTGGATATGCTGGAGAAGAGCTCATATCCACATTCTGAACATACAGTGAGCTTTAAAAGTATTGGGGCAGTGACACATTTTTTGTTGTTTTGGCTCTGTAATCCAGCATTTTGAATTTGAAATTATACGACGACTTTGAGGGTATTTTCATCCATATCCGGTGAACCGTTTAGAGATTACAGCTGTTTTTGTACATAGTCCCTCCATTTTAGGAGACCAGAAGTATTGGGACAAATTCACTTATGTGTCACATTTATTGTAAATAAGAATAGAATATGTTTCTAAACACATTTCACGATTCATTCAGGACGATCTGTAAAATGGGGGGACTATGTACAAAAAGTGCTGTAATTTCTAAATGGTTCACCCGATATGGATGAAAATACCCTCAAATGAAATATGTCAGTCTGCACTTTAACCCCACAGTCATTGTATCATTTCAAATCCAAAGTGCTAGAGTACAGAGCCAAAACAACAACAAAATTGTCACTGTCCCAATACTTTTGGAGCTCACTGTATATACCTGAAGGGAGAACATGTAGGATAGTAAGGGGTCTATTAAGTGGGGAGGGGCAATGTTCTGAGTGTTCCATATAGAAATGTAATGTATAGAGCAGCTCACACGATGCCCTGTTTATGACTGAGAACTATGCCTGTTCTACACTTATCTACATTTTCTAGAATGGTGCACCCACCCAAATAGCCCAAGGTTTATAGTTATGAAGTGCTTCATTTCTAAATGCCAGAGTAAAGTGCTTCAAGCAAACACTGTTGGTGAAGAATCACTAACATGTAAAGACAATAAGCTGCTGTATCCTTCCTGACCAAACTGTTTGGCAAGTCAGACATGCAGCTGGTCATTTTGCCCACTTACTGTACCAGGTTGGAAGTAGTCTTTGTAGACAGACCTCTCCACCAGAGAAGAAACAATATTACATTTTATCAATTTCCTTCATGGCAGAAAACCTAGATGGGACTTAGAAGCTATAGTATTGTTGACTTAAAACTATTATAAAACTAGATTGATTCGGGAGAAGTGTGTTCCTGCATGTTAACAGAGCATGTTAGCCCACATTCACTGCCAGATCAAATGACAAGCCCGTTCTGGTTGTATAATGCATGGTCTCATGTCTGCCACAAGGTGTTACTGTGACAGTATATTGGACAACAGAGGTGGAACAAGATTAGTTGTTCTGTTCAGCAATGCCACAGCTAGATATCTCTCATTGAGTATTATAACCCGAGTATTGATTGAGTATATATTAACGATAGAGTATTATCAGGTCTGCTAATCTCATGAGGTGAGTACTTTAGAATACTGGCATGATTGATGTGTTTGTCATAAAGATGGCTGAGAAACTATTTTCATGACACACTTGTTTAGGTTGTGCCCATAAAAATATAAACAAACAATGTAATCTTCTATAAAAGTATATCTTTATTTCTCTTTTTGTTTGCATATTATACATTGTGACCGTAAGACGATAGACAGTGATGTAAATAAAATCTATCTTTAAGAGGCTCACAACGTCATTGATAGAACTGATTAACACATAGTTATACATTGATATATTGAGCCATACATCAGAGCACTACTGTATATAAATTAGGACATCTTGAAGTTACATTCAACACTATGAAGGCTACGTAGTGATCCCCCCTTTCACTGACAATGTTCAAATAAAAATTAAACAATGATTAAATGAAAGAGGCTATCTTTGTGTAACCGTGTGACTCCTTGTGCGTCTGTGTTATGTAGTATTGTTCTATTATGATTGTGCATTATTGCGTAATGTAGCTGGCTATTTGGTTCCCCTGTCCTTGTACAGTGAAGACATTGACCATCAGTGTCCTGGAGGTCCCAGAGTGGGCTTTATCACAGGACACTTCATCCACTGTCCTCCACACCTTCAGCAGCACAGAGACTCCAGAGAATCCTACTGCTCGACCACCACTGTGACTCCATACCCCTGCTGCTCACCTTACAGTCCATCTACCTTATCTGTGGAGAGAGAGAGGACAACATTTTGGTTCAGAGTTTTTAAGTGTAACATTAACTATCCAGTGGTTAATGTGTGCTCAGTCAGATTGGTTAGGTATCAACGAGAGACATAAAAAGCCTTTCCTTATGTGATGTTGAAATAGCCCTATCTAATCAAATTGGCTTGACATTCCGTGACAACGTAGTTTAAGTGAACCCGTACCTTTAGGGACGAACTTCAGTGAGCTGCTGAATATTCAGAAACGTGAGAGTCCTTTCTTTGGCCCGTCGCCCACAAACTCATGACCCAGTCCATTTCCACACTTCCCACATCGGACCTGAAACACACAACTATCAGATTCCATCTTTCCATACAATAGTATACTCAATTCTATGTGCTACATTTTTACCAAGAAATAAGTGTTTTCATTCATAAAACAAACATAAAACGCAAAAATGTCAACGATTTTACTGAGGTAGAGTTCATATAAGGAAATCAGTCAATAGAAATACATTCATTGGGCCCTAATCTATGGATTAATAAAGATATGCATATGTTGGTCACAGATACCTTTAAAAAAAGGTAGGGGAGTGGATCAGAAAACCAGTCAGTATCTGGTGTGACCATTTGCCTCATGCAGCGTGACACATCTCCTTCGTATAGAGTTGATTGTGGCCTGTGGAATGTTGTCCCACTTCTCTTCAATGGCTGTGCAAAGTTGCTGGATATTGGCGGAAACTGGAACACGCTGTCGTACACGTCGATCCAGAGCATCTCAAACATGCTCAGTGGGTGACATGTCTGGTGAGTATGCAGGTCATGGAAGAACTGGAAAATGTTCAGCTTCCAGGAATTGTGTACAGATCCTTGCGACATGGGGCCGTGCATTATCATGCAGAAACATGAGGTGATGGCGGCGGATGAATGGCACGACAATGGGCCTCAATATCTCGTCACGGTATCTCTGTACATTCAAATTGCCATCGATAAAATGCAATTGTGTTCGTTGTCCGTAGCTTATGCCTGGCCATACCATAACCCCACCGCCACCATGGGGCACTCTATTCACAACGTTGACATCAGCAAACCGCTTGCCCACATGATGCCATATAGTTGTGAGGCCGGTTGGACATACTGCCACATTTTCTAAGATAACGTTGGAGGCGGATTATGGTAGAGAAATTAACATTACATTCTCTAGCAACAGCTCTGGTGGACATTCCTGCAGTCAGCATGCCAATTGCACGCTCCCTCAAAACTTGAGACATCTGTGGTATTGTGCTGTATGACAAATCTGCACATTTTAGAGTGGCCTTTTATTGTCCCCAGTACAAGGTGCACATATGTAATGATGATGCTGTTTAATCAGCTTCTTGATATGCCATACCTGTCAGGTGGATGGATTATCTTGGTAAAGGAGAAATGCTCACAACCAGGGATGTAAACCAATTTGTGTATAATTTGAAAGAAATTAGCTTTTTGTGCATACGGAAAATCTTTTATTTCAGCTCATGAAACATGATACCAACACGTTTATACTTTTGTTCAGTGTACAATCAACTTATCAAACACATGATTGTTAGGGCCTTCCCAAGTTCAAAATGAAACACTGGTTACAAATGCAGAAATGGAATGCAATACTCTACACACATCCTGTTAAAATGAACATTGGCTCATCATTGCATTGACCACAAGCAGACAAGTACTTAACAATGAACAGTCAACAGAGGGATGCTCCTATGGAGTAAGGTTAAGTTGCCCCTAGACCAGTGGTCACCAACCTTTTCTGAGTCAAGATCACTATCGCAGTCAAAAAGCAAGCCGAGATAAACTGCTCCGATTTTTTTTAAACATTACATACTTTTTATAAAAACAAATCTGTAGGAATTACATTTGTGAAGTAGGCCTAATAGATTATCACAGCATATTGACTATATGCTTGGCCTGCCAATATTGTTCTTCTCAGACCATATTATATATTTCAAAACTCGAGCTTTGATAACAAAATAGATCAGTTGTTGTATCACTTGCGAGGCACAGCTGAGCATAAATTGAAATAATGTACTTTTTTATTTTACTGGACTAATGGTACCTGCATCTGATGGTCAGTCTCAGCGGAGGGAGGGATAGAGCAGCAGAGGGTCCGCCTCTCACGGTCCCTGCTCTCTCCTTTCCTCCGGTGAGACTGACCAGAGAGGGTCAATGTCCACCCACTGATGGCGAAACTCCAGTTATTTCTCATTATTTCTGCCTCATGCACAAATTCATTCTATGACCAGAGAAAGTGAAATATTACTTGATATTAAAATAGACATGACGAGCTGCTAATAATAAAATGCAGGGCTATCGATACACTTGGCTACTAATTCATTGCAGCTGCAGCACGAGTGGAAGTAGGGAGAAGTGCATTTATGTTTTGTAATAGTGTTGAATAAAAACAGTGCTGAATAAAAACGTAAACATTAAATTACTCATAAAAACAGCAGCTCTGTTGTATTCCTTGACAGTTTCTCTCTGGTCATGGTTTTAAAAGTTATGAAATCTAACGTAGGCTAGTGTCAAACTTTGCTGTGGGGTCGTGGAATCTGTACTAGGTGATTTGAGTGATCTGATTGGCTAGCACAGTAGGAGCACTTGATTTAGACACAGCTCTCCTGGTCCGCAGGGTAAGCGGAGTTTGTCCCCTCAGACAAATTAAATGGTTTAAAATGGGAACACTTTGCCTACCCGGCGCACAGGGCTTCGGAATCAAGTGCACCTTCCGCCAAAAGCACAAAGTCGAATACAAAAATAAATAAAGGAGTGCAAGCCTTTATCGTGGGATTTTCTACAGAAATGTTTGGTGATCGACTAGGAATGCCTAGAAGATCGACCAGTCGATCGTGATTGATCGGTTGGTGACCACTGCCCTAGACACTGATCTTGGGTTAGTTTTGCATTTCCCCCACTAATGGTTAAGATTGGGGAAGGGGAAGCTTAGCTGATCTTAGATCTGTACCTAGGGTACACTTCACAACTCTGGTCCAATGCAACTCCACTCCCAAACTGAGAGGATCTCACCTTGAATGCCCCAGGTCTCTCCTCGTGCTTGGACACACTGTCCTGGAGGACAGTCTCAGTGAAGGCAGGCCAGGGGGAGGAATGCTCGTACTTGGATCTGCTGGAGAACAGCTGGTGTCCACACTGGGCACACACATACAACCCTGGGGAGATAGAAGATTAGAGTGAGATCAGCCAAAAGGAGATCTAGGATCTATGGTCAACACATTCTCCAATGAAGTTACAGGATGATTTGACCAGTGAAAATGACAATGAGAGTATAAAAGTGCAGTTGACTCGCACTATTTCCTTATGGAAACCGGTTTGTTATCTATCAACCCTGGGGAGGGATCCATGTTCAACACATTCTCTTTGAGTGATGTTAAAGGATGACTTGTCAAAACCTACATTTGAAATGATGACATAAGTGGCAACTTTAAGATCGAAATATACTTGTATAGGCGCTACATTGTATACTTATAAATAATATCATTTATATTTTCAATTATACTTTATAGTTACTGCAACTACTAATGTTTGGTTTACAGCACCTGTGTTTTCTTGGCACAGTAGAGTTAGTTGCTACAGTGTAACTGCCACTGGTGGTTCAAGCTTCCGTCATGGTTTGGTAAGAGCCAGGGGCGCATTCAGCAGGACGCAACGTTTTGAAACGTTCAGATATAAATATGTTAGCTATGTAGAACAAACATGCTCTCTGACATGTAGACGAAGGACTCACGTCGCCTCTATTCATGGCATTTCTATCTGCAACGTTCGAAAACGTTTGGCAACGGAACGTGGCCCTTGTGTAATCAGCGATTACAAAAGCATGCTACTTTTAGTTAGCTACTGATTGAGCATAAATTAGGTCAGTCAATTTTAGGACACACACAGTTGGGCTACTGTAAAATATTCACCAGTGATATCTAACAATATAACTAACTAGCAAGCTAGACTTTATAGTTATGTGCCACACAACGTCCCAAACCAAACCAAATCAAATGTATTTATAAAGCCTTTTTTACATCAGCAGATGTCACAAAGTGCTTATACAGGAACCCAGCCTAAAACCCCAAACAGCAAGCAATGCAGATGTAGAAGTTAATTTTACTGACTAATCTCATGTTTACAAGTTTAGTTAGCTAAAATACTGTAGCTACTGTAACTGACTAACTTGCTATCTTAGCTAGCTGAGGAGCCTCTTACCAGTTTTAAAGTGGTCTTTAAAGACCTCACCACCGAAGAAGGAACAAAAGGACATTACTCCACTTGCAATGAACCTCAATGTGAGTATAAAAGTGCAGTTGACTCGCACTCTTTCCTTAATCAATCCGGTTCGTATCTATCGGCTTCGAGAAAAGTTCAGACTTGTGCTTGCTTTGGGACAGCAGCAATGGGCAGGGACTGCTGAATGACGTCGATTGTTCAAAGCTCCAATTAAAGTGTACTTCCGGTTGCTTTACGGTGAGCGCTTCAAAATAAAAGCCTCAACTCAAATGGTTAGTGCTTTCAGGGCTCCTTGGGACGTCCCTACCGGAAACCCTAACATTGGGAGAAGTTTGCTTTTTATTTTTACAACCAAATCTCTATTTTTAATGTAAATGGATGTTATAGAAGAGTCCAGACACTTTTTTGTTGTTGCAATTTCACTTGTTTTTGAGAAACCTAACGCAACCAGTGATTCATTCATTTAATATTTTTGCACTGTCTCTATGCACGCTCACAGGGCCCTACACACGCGCACACCAACTCACATAGGCCTACATTCATCATGTACGCTGCTGCTACTCTGTTTATCATATATCCTGATGCCTAGTCACCTTACCCCTATACATACTGTATCTACCTCTATCACTCCAGTATCCCTGCATATTGTAAATATGGTACTGGAACTGAATGACCCTGTATATAGTATGTTTACTTACCTTTTCGTGTTCTTATTTCTTATTTTTATTTCCCGTGTGTTTTTGTTCTACCTTATGTTATTGTTAGTATTACATTCTTATTGATTACGGCATTGTTCGGTTTAGACCTTGCAAGAAAGGCATTTCACTGTACTCGTGCATTTGACATTAAAATTGATACTTTCTCATCCTTGTTTTTCAGTACGGGGGCTCTGAAAAAACATGAACAAATGCTCCAAAAACACCCAAATACGTCCTTTTAGAAACTAAAATGCTGTCAGTATAGCATGAAATTGTGTCATTCCGAACTTTATATTCAAGTTTCTGCGACTCGGGCCACTTCCCCAATCCAGCTGTTCCATTCTCTGTGTAGCCTGCTGCTACAGGTAACTGCCGAAATGAAAGAAACACCAACATAAAGTGTGTTTATAGGGCGTTGGGCCACCACAAGTCGCCAGAACAGCTTCAATGCGCCTTGGCATAGATTCTACAAGTGTCTGGAACTTCCTGTGTGGTAGCACATGCTTTCAATATACTTTGTATCCCTCATTTACTCGCGCTTCTTTTATTTTGGCAGTTACATGTAGAATGGACGGAGAGGTATCACTCGAGTCTCAACAAAATGGAATCTAACGTTGCAGATAAAGTTAGGAATAACACAATTTAATGTGTTCAACATGTTAGGTTCTATTTTCTAATAATTGGATTGATGGGATGACTAACTTAGAAAGAATGCATTCTTGACTGGGCTAATGTAGGCTGTGACACCTGGCAGGCTGTGATTGATGTGAAGAGCTGTTTTAGGGGGTAAAGGGAGATAAGGATTTGTGTCTCCAAATGCTAGACTATACTGGTTCTTTGTGATCTGTGAACCTTCCTTGGACGTAGGAATGATGTCTAAGGGAGCTGGCTCTTCTCACTATGACAGGTTGTTATGATATGGACATATGCCTGGTAACAGAGATCCATCAACGGATTGGCTGAGTAAGTTTAAACCACGCTCAAGTCTCTACTCTAATTGGCCAGCAGAGAGGTGGGAAACTCTCTCTGTCAGAGTATTTGAGTATTGAATCTGAAACAATGTTTTAGTTCTCTGGGGTGCCCTGCGAGGTATCTCAGAGAGCCCGTATATACGAAACATCATATTTACCATTGAAGGTTTTTGCATTAATTAAAATAACTAGTATATCTTAGAAGTCGTGTTGACCTCTTTTGTTCCTAATACCAGATTTGAATTGACGCGACTTTGACAATGTGAAGACCTGCATCACTATACTTTTCTGTTTCTAAAAGTGTTTTTGGAGCCTTTGATCAGGTTGTTTTCAGAGCCCCATAGTGCACAACAAAAATGAGGAAATTAATCATTGGCTGGGGGTAAGTTTCTCAAAAACAAGTGAAATCACAAAAAAAGTGTCTGGACCCTTCTACAACAACCATTTACATAACAAATAGAGGCTTGGTTGTAAAAAAGCAAAATACTCCTTTAAAGAAAAATTCATTCAAAAACGATTGTTTGGTATTTGTTTCATTAGTCCACTGTTGATAAAGTCCCAAAATGTAACGTTTTGCATGTCAGCAATCAAGTTTTCAAGACATAGAACTTTCAAAATACAGAAAGCTTCACAGTATTATGCGTTTTGCCCTAACCCTAACCATAACCCTTACCTAACCATACCAACTTCAATGAGGTACGGACGTCCCAAGGATTCCGGATAGCAAGGACCCTACTCCAACGTACAACAAAGCATCCAGTGACTGCAAGTAGCAAGTTGCAGACTAATAGGCCAGACCCTACTAACCTAACCCATTTTTCATTTCAGTTTAATAAACAAAACAAAAACCGATTAACTACAGATATCACAATTCCCCCACTTATTTTGTCATTTTATTTATATGAATGACACCAGACGTTTGAGTAATATTACGTTTATTGATTTGATATAAAACACACCAACAACATGATTGCAAATGAATGACTTAAACCATCCCTAAAAGCCAAATCACAACATTGATCCGACATGTTTTGTCCTGTCGTAGTCTGTATTAAACAAAGGAAAAACACCATACTGTATAGAAGACAGCAATTTCAAAGGTACATTTCCCCCCCCAGTTGAAAATAAAAGCAGAGGCTGGATATTCAAACCATGCATTTTTTATATATGTCATTTAAAGGACACCCTGGCCAACAAAACTATACCAACAGAATACAGATTCAGAAAGAGAATACCTCCACTTTAGATCTCTCCATAGACCTCTTTTTCTCTCTCAAATACAGAGATTACAGCAATTCCATAGCATTGAAAGACATCAATGAATTCAGCATTTTTACAATAGATAACTCTTAAATATACATATTTACAAAAAAAAACACAGGATAAAAAATAACACTCTCCTGAAATCCACCGTTTTACTTTAACTGTTTCACTGCGACCTACAACAATCCATGAATGACAACCCCAACACACAATTAGAACTAAAATTACATGGTGTCAATTTCCAACCAATAAGAGGGCATGAGTGCAAAGAGAAAGGAGAAAATGAGTTTGATCATCCCACACATTTATAACCATATGCATAAAGATTGAGCTGATTGAAGAGTATATTTATCTGATCTCTGTGTATCTAGGTAACAAACCCTGAGATACAGTATCAATTGAGATGAAAGAGGGCTGAGACACTGAAGAGAAGCACAAAGTATTCAGAGGAATGTGAACTAAATTAAATCAGACTAGAATTTATCTCCACATGAGCTTTCTGGCTGGTAGATGATGCTGGTTACTGTGTTTCGATGGGACCGATGGAGAGGTTAAGAGGTTTTTAAAAGACACTCAGTGGGTGTGTGTGTGTGTGTGTGCGTGCGTGTTTGCGCGTACATGTATGTGGTGTGTGCTTTGAGCCTCCTCTCCAAGTGATGCATGGTGATCAGGCTGACTATCTCTCTGCAAAGGCAGACCAAGACACAGTTAGTTGGTGACAGTGGTAGGCTTCAGGGTGATACCTGCAACTGCCTGTGAAGAGGCATTTACCACACCACCAAGTTATAGGAGGTCTGTGAACAACACACCCCCTTTTACATAAGTTGTCTAGGTGACAAAATGGATGTTCATAGCCACCCCCTGAATGTAGATAGGTGTATACTACTCCTCTGGGTCCCCCTCTCATTCAGGCTGGGGGCTAGGGGTTGAGCCCCAGGAGAAGATACTAGCCAGCCTGAAGCCTGAGTCCCTGCGATTGGGGTCGGGGAGGGTCAAGGTCTCTGGGGCTGACTTTTTCCTGGGCCGGTCCTTGGGCACAGAGAGGAACTCTGGAGGCTCCGTGGCGAGGGGGGTGGAGGGGGCGCTGGAGGGCCCGTTGCGGGCCACCGAGGCCAGGGGGGTCTCGGTGATGGAGATGGATGGGGGGAAGGGGCCGATCTTACGGTTGGTGGCCTCCTGGGTGGCCCGCTCGTACTCTCTCACCTCATCCATGGTCATTTCTTCAGGAGGGGAGAGAGAGGGAGATTTTATAACCCCATGACATCTACTGTATGTCTTAACTGTATGTCTTAGCATTATAGTGTAATAACAGAATTACATGATACAGTAAATACGTATCTGACTTCACCTGTTGGATTTTAAAGAGCTTACATTTCAAAGGCTCTGGGAGATGAATACAAGCAATACATGAAAAGGAGTTCCCTGCTCTGAACACAAATCTGAATTCATAATCGGTTGTGTGTGTTCCAGAGGGGAGACAGTAACACAGTCATCATCCGCTCAGTCATCATCCTTGCTCACAAGTATCTGTGTGTGTCTGTGCTTGTGTGTGTGTATCTGTGTACGTGTGTGTGTGTGTTAAATCAAATTGTATTTGTCACATGCTTTGTAAACAACATGTGTAGACTAACAGTGAAATGCTAACAGTGACTTTCTTACTTGTGTGTGTGTGCTTTGGTGTGTGTGTGTGTGTGTGTGTGTGCGTGCGTGTGTGTGTTTGGGTCCGTGCACGCGTTCTGTACTGTTCCGGTAGGACAAACAAAGCAAGTTCAATGCAGTAAATGACAATGTATGAACGTTTGAGTGTGTTTGAATGGATGACATGAAATAAGTCAGAGAGGAAGAGGGAGATGAGACACCAGCATACATTAGAGAAACAGTGAAGGTAGAGTGAAGACATATGGCTGGCTGTCTCAAGGCTCTCTACCACGTCCAGTGAGTTTATGCTGTGGTATGCTGTGCTTGTTGGACATTGCCAACTCTAATGTTGGTTTTCTCATGCATGTGTTTCTCGTACTCCTGCACATCATCCCAAGTCATATCTGTGGAGAGGTTCCAGACCGCCACCGTGCCACCTGTTAGCTAGCTAGGGCACTTGGTGCAGGAGGTACAAGGCCTTGTGGGAAGGGTCAGCAAGAGGTCAGGAGGTCACACAGCCATAAAGAGCTGGGGAAGTTGGCATAGTCGGCGGGTAGTCAACCATTAGCGACAAACGCTTGATGGGCCAAAGCGGTGATAACATGGTCAAAGTAACCAAACGACAATTAGTTCAGGTGAAACTGCCCAATATTGTCTGCTTATACATTTAGAGTGCTGCTTTCCAGTCCAGAGCCGTGTTATAGGGAAGTGACTGTGCAATGAGAGAAAAACCAACAAATAGGGCCGGCAGGGGTTGGAACCAAAATAATTATTTCATTCTGAACAGAACAAAAATTTTTTGGTTCCGCTCCAGTTTTCTGACCAGCATGATAAAGTTATGAACCCGTTCAAGCAAGTCCTGGTTATGAGCCCGTAAATTAAGTCTAGTCCTGGAATAAAATTCACTTTCAATTGAGATTCTCAATTGAGAATGATTTTAATCAAAGACTTCACCTGGGAAACCAGGGAAACCGGCTCCTTTGTGATATAGCGTAAGTACTGGGAGGGTATGGATATGGGTTAAAGGTCCAATGCAGCCATCTTTATCTCAATATCAAATAATTTTGGGGTAAAAGTATCTTACTGTAATTGTTTTCAATTAAAATGGTCAAAAAGAAACAAAAATAGCTTCTTTGCAGGAGCAATTTCTCAAGCAAAAGTTTTTCTAGGACTGTCTGGGAGTGGTCTAAGTAAGGAGAACTGAAAACTAGCTGTTATTGGCAGAGAGGTTTGGAACTCTGTTTCTTATTGGTCTATTAACTAATTTACCACCTGGTGATATCACAAGGCAGGCCAAAACTCCATCCCACCTAAACAGGCTGACATTTCAGACAGCTCTTACACTAAAAGGGCATTATCATAATGTTCACAATTTCACAGTATTATTCCAACCTCATACACTCTTAGAAAAAAAGGTGCTATCTAGAACCTTAAAGGGTTCTTCGGCTGTCCCCATAGGAGAACCCTTTAAAATAACTATTTTTGGTTGCATGTTAGAACCCTTTTGGTTCCATGTAGAAGCCTTTCTACAGAGGGTACCTACCTAGAACCAAAAAGGGTTGTACCTGTAACCAAAAAGGGATCTCCTATGGGGACAACTGAAGAACCCTTTTGGAACCCTTTTTTCTAAGTGTGTAGTGTGGAAATATACAGTGGGGAGAACAAGTATTTGATACACTGCCGATTTTGCAGGTTTTCCTACTTACAAAGCATGTAGAGGTCTCTCATTTTTATCATAGGTACACTTCAACTGTGAGAGACGGAATCTAAAACAAAAATCCAGAAAATCACAATGTATGATTTTTAAGTAATTAATTTGCATTTTATTGCATGACATAAGTATTTGATCACCTACCAACCAGTAAGAATTCCGGCTCTCACAGACCTGTTAGTTTTTCTTTAAGAAGCCCTCCTGTTCTCCACTCATTACCTGTATTAACTGCACCTGTTTGAACTCGTTACCTGTATAAAAGACACCTGTACACACACTCAATCAAACAGACTCCAACCTCTCCATAATGGCCAAGACCAGAGAGCTGTGTAAGGACATCAGGGATAAAATTGTAGACCTGCACATGGCTGGGATGGGCTACAGGACAATAGGCAAGCAGCTTGCTGAGAAGGCAACAACTGTTGGCGCAATTATTAGAAAATGGAAGAAGTTCAAGATGACGGTCAATCACCCTCAGTCTGGGGCTCCATGCAAAATCTCACCTCGTGGGGCATCAATGATCATGAGGAAGGTGAGGGATCAGCCCAGAACTACACGGCAGGACCTGGTCAATGACCTGAAGAGAGCTGGGACCACAGTCTCAAAGAAAACCATTAATAACACACTACGCCGTCATGGATTAAAATCCTGCAGCGCACGCAAGGTCCCCCTGCTCAAGCCAGTGCATGTCCAGGCCCGTCTGAAGTTTGCCAATGACCATCTGGATGATCCAGAGGAGGAATGGGAGAAGGTCATGTGGTCTGATAAGACAAAAATAGAGCTTTTTGGTCTAAACTCCACTCGCCGTGTTTGGAGGAAGAAGGATGAGTACAACCCCAAGAACACCATCCCAACGTGAAGCATTGAGGTGGAAACATCATTCTTTGGGGATGCTTTTCTGCAAAGGGGACAGGACGACTGCACCGTATTGAGGGGAGGATGGATGGGGCCATGTATCGCGAGATCTTGGCCAACAACCTCCTTCCCTCAGTAAGAGCATTGAAGATGGGTCATGGCTGGGTCTTCCAGCATGACAACAACCCGAAACACCCAACCAGGGCAACTAAGGAGTGGCTCCGTAAGAAGCATCTCAAGGTCCTGGAGTGGCCTAGCCAGTCTCCAGACCTGAACCCAATAGAAAATCTTTGGAGGGAGCTGAAAGTCCGTATTGCCCAGCGACAGCCCCGAAACCTGAAGGATCTGGAGAAGGTCTGTATGGAGGAGTGGGCCAAAATCCCTGCTGCAGTGTGTGCAAAGCTGGTCAAGACCTACAGGAAACGTATGATCTCTGTAATTGCAAACAAATGTTTCTGTACCAAATATGAAGTTCTGCTTTTCTGATGTATCAAATACTTATGTCATGCAATAATCATACAATGTGATTTTCTGGATTTTTGTTTTAGATTCCATCTCTCACAGTTGAAGTGTACCTATGATAAGAATTACAGACATCTACATGCTTTGTAAGTAGGAAAACCTGCAAAATCGGCAGTGTATCAAATACTTGTTCTCCCCACTGTTTATAAAACAAGAAAATCATGTTTTTGACTGCACTGGGCCTTTTATCTGAAGTGGAGCAGCGCATTAGTGGGTGGACACAGGGTGGTTTGTTATAGTGGTGGTTAATGGTAGAATACACACGCTCTCAGGAATATTATTAGACAAACCTTAGTAATGTAGGCTGTGGAAGACCACAATGTAAGGACGGAGGGAAGGACCACTGGTGTACAGCAGGGCCATGTTCATTTAGGGCACACAACGTTTGAAATTGTTTTGCAACAGAAAATAAAACTTGTTTTTCTTATTGGACAGGTAGTCCATCTCTGATTCAGTTTATTTTTTTCCATTTGGTGCTGCTAAATGAATATGACCCAGATGATATTCAGCCCACAGGAGGTTGGTGGCACCTTAATTGGGGAGGACGGGCTTGTGGTAATGACTGGAGCAGAATTAGTGGAATGGTATCAAATACATCAAACACATGGTTTCATTTACTCCATTCCAGCCATTATTATGAGCCGTCCTCCCCTCAGTGGCCTCCACTGATACAGCCACTTTCACTGAATCTCCCACAGCTCTTGGAGGAAGGGGGAAAAAAATTAATGGATATGTGCCCACAAACAACGCAAGCTAGATTGACCTAAGGCTATAGTGCATCTCCTGTGCTAGTTATGTACTGTATACTGGTTCATGTTGTATGTGAATAGGGGAAAGAGCAGGCTCTTGTGGTCTTAAATGTTCCTCTATCTTTAAAGTCAGGCTCAGTAAGTCCCAAATAAAATAGCTACTGACTCTCAGCATGCTCTCATGTTCTCTCATCCTATGACCCATACAGTACAGAGTCAAGTGCTCTCTGTATCTGTGTACAGATTCTCTGAATCATTCTGTTGCAGTGGAAACATCTCAAGTGGCACCTTCTCTGATGAAGGCCAGCGAGAAAACGTATTGGTTGTGAGAAATGGGCTTTATAAATACAATGAATCTATTGTTATTATAAAGAATGTTTATGTTCCTTTTCCATGACAATCGTGATGCGTCAGCTTTTCAAAAACACTTACAAAGTTAAGTACATAATTCAAAATGTACGAAAGAGTTATCTGGCCTATCAATTGTCTTTTTTCAAAAATAATACAGCTAAGAAATGTATCAACAGGGTGAGAAGTGTAGTTTCAGTCAGATCTGCATTCAAATACTATTAGAAATGATTTGAAATAGTGTAGCTGTTTTTGATTGAGCTTGCCTGTTGCAATGGAACCAATAGAAAAGTATTGGAAGTACAAACCCCACCCACCTGGCCCTCCAGGCAGGTTAAAGCTTAAGGTATTTGAAAGATTTTAAATAATGTCGTATTTGAACTTAGGTCTTGTTGCAGTGTACCTTGTGTTTGACAAGCCTGGTCACACAGATCCATTTTATAAGCCTTTTGCTCATAGTGTTGAAACAGGGAAGCAAATCAATGAAACAGTGAAGAAATGCTCAGACTAAAAACATAATACAAAATAATGGTTATTAACACACCTCAGTGTGGGTAAGAATCCTGGCCCCAACACTACTCTGCATCTCCCTCCCTCTCTGTCTCCCTGCTCAATAAAATACAAATACTATAAAATATATATCTATAATATATATATATTATATATATATATCTATATATATATATATACAGTGGGGGAAAAAAGTATTTAGTCAGCCACCAATTGTGCAAGTTCTCCCACTTAAAAAGATGAGAGAGGCCTGTAATTTTCATCATAGGTACACGTCAACTATGGCAGACAAACTGAGAAAAAAAAATCCAGAAAATCACATTGTAGGATTTTTAATGAATTTATTTGCAAATTATGGTGGAAAATAAGTATTTGGTCAATAACAAAAGTTTCTCAATACTTTGTTATATACCCTTTGTTGGCAATGACACAGGTCAAACGTTTTCTGCAAGTCTTCACAAGGTTTTCACACACTGTTGCTGGTATTTTGGCCCATTCCTCCATGCAGATCTCCTCTAGAGCAGTGATGTTTTGGGGCTGTCGCTGGGCAACACGGACTTTCAACTCCCTCCAAATATTTTCTATGGGGTTGAGATCTGGAGACTGGCTAGGCCACTCCAGGACCTTGAAATGCTTCTTACGAAGCCACTCCTTCAAATCAAATCAAATCAAATCCGTTGCCCGGGCGGTGTGTTTGGGATCATTGTCATGCTGAAAGACCCAGCCACGTTTCATCTTCAATGCCCTTGCTGATGGAAGGAGGTTTTCACTCAAAATCTCACGATACATGGCCCCATTCATTCTTTCCTTTACACGGATCAGTCGTCCTGGTCCCTTTGCAGAAAAACAGCCCCAAAGCATGATGTTTCCACCCCCATGCTTCACAGTAGGTATGGTGTTCTTTGGATGCAACTCAGCATTCTTTGTCCTCCAAACACGACGAGTTGAGTTTTTACCAAAAAGTTATATTTTGGTTTCATCTGACCATATGACATTCTCCCAATCCTCTTCTGGATCATCCAAATGCACTCTAGCAAACTTCAGACGGGCCTGGACATGTACTGGCTTAAGCAGGGGGACACGTCTGGCACTGCAGGATTTGAGTCCCTGGCGGCGTAGTGTGTTACTGATGGTAGGCTTTGTTACTTTGGTCCCAGCTCTCTGCAGGTCATTCACTAGTTCACCCTGTGCGGTTCTGGGATTTTTGCTCACCGTTCTTGTGATAATTTTGACCCCACGGGGTGAGATCTTGCGTGGAGCCCCAGATCGAGGGAGATTATCAGTGGTCTTGTATGTCTTCCATTTCCTAATAATTGCTCCCACAGTTGATTTCTTCAAACCAAGCTGCTTACCTATTGCAGATTCAGTCTTCCCAGCCTGGTGCAGGTCTACAATTTTGTTTCTGGTGTCCTTTGACAGCTCTTTGGTCTTGGCCATAGTGGAGTTTGGAGTGTGACTGTTTGAGGTTGTGGACAGGTGTCTTTTATACTGATAACAAGTTCAAACAGGTGCCATTAATACAGGTAACGAGTGGAGGACAGAGGAGCCTCTTAAAGAAGAAGTTACAGGTCTGTGAGAGCCAGAAATCTTGCTTGTTTGTAGGTGACCAAATACTTATTTTCCACCATAATTTGTAAATAAATTCATTAAAAATCCTACAATGTGATTTTCTGGAAAAAAAATTCTCAATTTGTCTGTCATAGTTGACGTGTACCTATGATGAAAATTACAGGCCTCTCTCATCTTTTTAAGTGGGAGAACTTGCACAATTGGTGGCTGACTAAATCCTTTTTTCCCCACTGTATATGTGTGTGTGTCAACTAACTGGGACAGAGACAAGAAGCAAACTCACCAATCCACTCATCCACCCAGGCAAAGGCTTGTCTGTGTCCTAGGAGCAGGACGTCACGGATAACCTGAGGATGGAGACAGGAGGAGAAGGAAGGTAAAGAGGGAGAGTGAGAAAGAAAGAAAGAAGTCAGGAAAGAAAGTTAGTAGACATACTGTAGTGAGAGGACAGGTGAGTCAGAGACGTTGAACTTTAAGAGTTGTTCTCTGTCTTCCTTCCACTCCTCCTCCAGTGAACGTTAGCCATGTGTGTCCCTGTATGAGTCATGGTGTGTGTGTGAGAGAGAGAGCGAGAGAGAGAGTAATGGTTCTGCATGTGATGTCAGGGAGAGAGACCCTCAGGCAAGGAGAGGGACAGCTCAGAGGGGGAACAGGGGTATAGGTAGGGGTGGAGGCGGCTAAATTGAATTGAAGGGAGAGGAAATGGATGGCTGAGAAAGTTATATTGGGAGAGGGCAAGGAGTGAAGAACGCCATTGTTGGTGTGTGTCTGCCTGCCTGTGCATCCCTGTCTGTCTGTCTGCCTGCCTGTGCATCCCTGTCTGTCTGTGTGTTGTGTGTGTGTGTGGATACAGAGAAATGGTGGGTAGACATAACTGGACTGACCTTGTGTACAAACTGCTCCACCCGTGTCTGAAGACCCCACACCTCGAACTTGACTGTCACCAATTTGTAGGAGCACATGATGGGTTCCTGGCTGTCGATCCAGCCCTCCTGCAGCACACCCCGGTCTGTCTTCTCTGATTTAAAGTACCGCAAGTCCTACGGGGAACCATGGGAACACAGTATGGACAGTATTAAAGCTACAGTCTGGGATTGGTAGATCTATTTTTGGACTTCTTTTGATATACTGACATTGATTCTTCAAGAATTTAACTTAAAAATACCTCATGAGCTTAGTGCCACTGTCTTACCCCATCGTTATGTATCTTTATAGGAATGCAATTCAATTCCTGACCCAATGAGTTTCGCAGTAAACATCCTCACAAGCATGAATGAACCATGTTTTCTTTGTCCAGCAGTCCAGCAGAATGGATGGTAGGTACCAGGTGGGTACAAGACTCATGGAGAGCTCAACCTGGAGCAGCCCGCTGAGGGGTTTCTCGTTACAAACAGTACCCATTACGCATTAATTAATCACGCTTCCCTGGCAACTCATTATACTCTAATGGTCATTAGCAAGGAAGGTTGGGATGGTGAGAAGGGATGTGTTTCACACACACACACATATGCACACACAAACACGCACGCATGCACACTCACCCACACACACTGTGCACAGGAGGATAAACTTGTGGAGGCACTTTGCAGATTGCAGAAGAGACACTTCATAAAGTTTGGTTAGGTTGGGCCAAAGGGGGGGATAGAAGCTATTTGATGTGCACAGTCTGCCTTTCATGTGTTTCTTGATCATGTGACCTTCCCAGGAGAGAACTCTGTGCCCTTGTTATGGTATGAGGACTAGATGGTATACAGCTACGAACATAATTTACTTTATGTAGCAGGTTAGGAGAACTTACGCAGCAGGATAGGATAATGAAACTAGCAGGTTAGGAGAACTTACGGAGCAGGATAGGATAATAACCTAGCAGGTTAGGAGAATTTAAGCAGCAGGTTAGGATAATAACCTAGCAGGTTAGGAGAATTTAAGCAGCAGGTTAGGATAGTTAACCTAGCAGGTTAGGATAACTTACGCAGCAGGATAGGATAAACTAGCAGGTTAGGAGAATTTACATAGCAGGTTAGGATAATTATGCAGCAGGTTAGGATAATTAACCTAGCAGGTTAGGAGAACTTACGCAGCAGGTTAGGATAATAACCTAGTAGGTTAGGAGAATTTACACAGAAGGTTAAGATAATAACCTAGCAGTTTAGGAGAATTTATGCAGAAGGTTAGGATAATTATGCAGCAGGTTAGGATAATTAACCTAGCAGGTTAGGATAACTTACACAGCAGGTTAGGAAAATTAACATAGCAGGTTAGGAGCATTAGGTTAAGGTTAGGACAATGGTTAGGTTTAAGGTTATTTGAAATGCTACAATTCTTCCCGAAATGACCCCAAAATTCAGATTTTGACGATTTATGCGTCACTTTTGTCCGTAGCTGCATACCGTCTAGCCACAACCTTGTTATGGCGTAGAACCTAGAATATTTGTTTATGTGGGCAGGAAAAACTTTCTGACTATTTCTGTGAAGATGTGTGCTTTGAGCACATTACTGAGTTATATATCATTGTTCTGTGATAATGTGAAATAGGTCTGAATTAGGGTTGCAAAATTCCAGTAACTTTCCCAAAATTCCCAGGTTTTCCATAAATCCTGGTTGAAATAATCCAATTTTTTGTTGTTTATTCCCTCCTGATTCCAGGAATATTCCAACTGGGATTTCTGGAAAATCTGAGAATTTGGGGAAATGTACCAGAATGTTGCAGCCCTAGCTTAATGTAATAGTATGACCATCTGTCAAATTCATCACATTTGAACAATGCCAGGTAAAACGTTGCTGCAGTTTGCCACATATAAGACTGAGGTTATGCTCTCTTGAACACAGCAGGTATCAGAGATCTAAAAATGGCTCAGTTCAAATCAAATATACTTAAATAGGCTTGTTGACAATATGTTGTATATCAGGAAAAAGCATGTTGTGGCTATTCTTAGCACAAGGGCATAAAATCCCGTCCTCCCGTCAAACATAAAAGACAGACCCATTGCTGTCCCCCTGACTCTAATAACAGACATTGTATAATCCCCCCCCCCCCCCCCCCCCCCACCACACACCACACACACACACTTAGGGAGAGGCAGATAGCCAGTTAGTGATCAGAGGAGTGAGAAACTGTAAGGGGCTGTTTGAGGAAGATAACACCACGTATTCCTCCATCCCTCCACCCCCTTCCCTCCATCCCCGTCCCTCCATCCACCCCTTCACCACCCCTCCCTGATGCTTGTGAAGAGGGAAGAATAGAACATGAAGGAGAGCAGGGACACAGCGGTGAACACGGCTAATGGCAAACATGACCAGCTAGAGTTCTCTCTCTCTCTCCTCTCTCCTCTCTCTCTCTCTCTCTCTCTCCTCTCCTCCTCTCCTCGTCCTCTCTCTCTCTCTCTCTCATCTCTCTCTCTCTCTCATGAAGCTAGCAGCTCGCTGACCCTCAGGGCTGAGAGGGGAGATATGACCAGCTGGAGGTCTCTTGCCTGATGAAGCTAGCAGCTAGCTGACCCTCAGGGCTGAGAGGGGAAATGAGCAATGGAGATATGAGAGAAAGTGGGAGAGAGTGGGAGAAAGTGGGAGAGGGGATTTGTTATAAACACTCTTAGAAAAAAGGGTTCCAAAAGGGTTCTTCGGCTGTCCCCATAGGAGAACCCTTTTTGGTTCCAGGTAGAACCCTTTTTGGTTGCAGGTAGAAGGGTTCTACCTGGAACCAAAATGGTTCTACCTGGAACCAAAAAAGGGTTCTTCAAATAGTTATCCTATGGGGACAGCCAAATAACCCTTTTAGGTTCTAGATAGAACGTTTTTTCTAAGATTGTATTCTCTTAGATATTCTGTTATCACCTTCTTACACTAACACGCCCCTCCCATACTCCATCTGATAACATGCCATTTTAAAAGGGTCCTGAGTTTTTCTGACTACGGCTAGTCAATCATCAATCCACTGCTCTCACCATAGGGTTTGATTAGATTAACTCTTTAACACACTGCAATTACAATAAAGCTCAATAGCTTTCCGGTGATACGGCCAGGTTGCTAGCACCCAGAGTTGTTCCTAATCAGGTCACATGGTCAGGTAAAACTCAGGGCCTTAGCTATCGTCATCCCCTTACAGGTTTATTAAACTATGGGTCGGGACCCAAAGTGGGCCCTGGACATTTGAGAATAGGGTTGCAGTTATGAGAATACATCCATCCCCTCCTCCCCCTGCTCCTTCCAAAATGTCACGTCCACACTCTCTTGCATGGTTTTAACAATGGTGGAAACTCACGCCAGTTAATGCTTACACCAGTCATATGGTTTTAAATCCATGATGGTGAGTGTACAAGTGCACACTTGTACTGGAAAACGGTGGAGAATTGTGACTGTCAATGTCCACTGCTGCTGAAACAGTGATTTGGGATTCCTAACCCTTGATCCCTAACCTTTGACCTCCTCACCTCAGACTCCTTGTAGTAGCGCTCTGGGATCTCGTCGTAGGCAATATCCACGAAGCACACCTCTATCTCCTCCTCCCCTTTGGGCTCGCTGTTAAAGATCTGAGGGATAGAGAAAAAGAGACAGGCACGTGTGAGGTCATTTTAGAGAGAGAGAAAGAGAAAGAGAGAGAGAGAGAAAGAGAGAGCTAGAGAGAGAGAGAGAGAGAGAGAGAGATAGAGCGAGAGAGAGAGAAGAGAAAGAGAGAGAAAGAGAAAGAGAGAAGAGAGACAAGAGTAGCGAGAGAGCGAGAGAGAGAGAGTTAATCAACTGTTCTCCAAGTCTAAGATGCAGGGACCACCATGATGAGGATGTTGTATTTATTTCAGCAGCATCTTATCTATGTAGATATCAGTGATCTTAGGAATGAAGCTTAGTGAACAGTCATTCCCACAGCAGCCACTAGGTGGAGCTCTGATGTTTGGGTAAGTTGAGCGAGCGAGCATTGCATAACACTGATAGGCCAGAGCTGCCAATCATTTAATAATCACAATGTTTGAAGGGGGAAAGCCAGGCTTTTTAAAGGTTATGAGTGCTTTACTCCTTTCCCCATTAAATCATTAGACCCTCGTAAGGTGACGGGTGCTTTTTCGCCAGGAGGATACATTTAGCTCATTTAGCAGGAATAAAAAAGAATACAAGAAGAAAGAAAAAGAAAGAAAGAAAGAAAGAAAGAAAGAAAGAAAGCAAGAAAGAAAGAAAAGAAGAAAGAACTAAAGAAAGAAAGAAAGAAAGAAAGAAAGAAAGACAGAAAACGAAGAAAGAAAAGAAAGAATAAAGAAGAAAGAAAGAAAGAAAAGAAAGAAAGAAAGAAAGGAAAGAAGAAAAAGAAAGAATTGGTGCAAGTAATCATCTCCTTCAAAAAGTTGAATAATCAGCTCAAAAATCCATCCATTACTGACATCAATGTATTCATCTACCAACCTTTGCATGATAAGTAGACCGGGAGGATGAAAAACTGAACTGAGTAATGATGTCTTTGAGAGTAGAGGAAGTAAAGCCTAGGGAAATTGGGGCATTGATGGATGACTTTAAATTCATCAAATACATACTTTAGTCCTCAGGAATTAAAAGTCAAGGTCGTGTTCATATTAGGGATTACCTGGAAATGTCCAATAAGAAACGTTTATTTGTTTTCTATAGCAAAAACGTTTTAAAAAACCGTTTTCATTATGTCCTAATGAACACAACCCAGGACAGACCTAGGATAATTTATATTATATGACATAATGTAAATGTTGTGGAATGGTAATGTGAATATATCCCCCACCAGGAAATGAGGTTTAGTAGTGAGAGGAACAAGAAGCAACAGTCCCTGTTTAAAGGACTGTATCAGACATGCAGACAAACCCACACAATATCACCCTATATCTTATTTCCTTTCTATGTTGCTGTTTTTCTTTATTCCCTTAATATCTCTCTCTCTCTCTCTCTCTCCTCTGTCTCTCTCTCTCCTCTCTCTCGCTCTCTCTCTCCTCCTCATTCACTTCCCTGTTGCTCCCCCCCTTTCTCTCCTTTTCCTGGTTGTCTGAATATCAGTCCTTCATACTGTACGGAATTCAAATATGTAGTCAA